AATTTTAATTTGGTGCGACTATGTCAACCATCATCCATCAAACGGTACCTCGAGCTAAAATCAAGTAATCATGTCTTATACACTACTGAATTGGTATTTAATATTTATAGTGGTAGTTACGCCACGAAGTTCAATTGCATATTTTTTACTTTATTCCCCATATTTCGAACTAAATTTACAACAGTTCAATAACGAAAGCATCTTTATAAGACCTTTGAAAATGGCGGACTAGATAATTCCTTCAATTCAAAAATTTAACATGTAGTCTTGCATAAACGTTGCCGTTGCACGTTATCTATATGTATATATTTAAAAAAGCTTTTTTTAAATGAGTTATGAATCACAAACTAAAAAAAAAAAATTTTTTTTTTTTGTTCCTCACGCATTTGAAACTGCATATTTCCGGATTATGCATAAATTTATTCTTTGAAAATTTCTCCATTACGCTATGATTTGTTTAATATTTTATTTCATAGCGTGTTATTTTAATTTGCTGCCTGCAACCAACGTAACAACACGAATTTAAATTTTTATTCATACTTACACACACAATGTAAATTTCTAGATAATACAATTTTCGAATTTTCTCTGCTGAAAATGCTTTTCTGCGTTTCGTGTTGCTAAGCAACGAAACATTATTTCCATCGTCTCTTGTGACACAAAAGAATGTTCAAGAGCTTACATTTTGGTACAGATTCTATGTTACATTGAAATTTAAACTAAATTTAATTGAGCTTCATGGAGTCTGTTGCGGTAATAGTGTTGTTTATTTTACTTCTTATTTATGAAAATTATTTTACGATTTCTTCTGGTATTTTAAATGTTTATTTTAGAATGAAGCCGAAGAAATTTATCAGAGATTGATAAGAAAGAAAAGTGTTGTTGGAGTTATGGTTTTTAATGAAAATGGTGAAACTTTTTTATTTTATATCTATTTGAAATATAGTTTATAAATAATTAAAATTGTTGTTGGAATGATGTAATATTTGTTTCGAATGTTTTTTTTTAAATATTTTGTAACGGTAGTTTGTTAATATTTTAGTTTAGGTTTACAATTGATAGCTATAATATGAAACTGCGTTTATTTATAGTTACATAACTTATTTTACAAAATAAGTTGTAAGTTTGATTTATTTTTTAGAGTGAACAAACATTTTACTTGCGAAACATTATAATAATGTGACAATTTATGTAATTTATATATATTTATAAAAATATATCTATTGTTTACGTTTGAAATAATAAAAGTAAGTTTTTCTTAATTCTTTTGAAAGAAGATTTTATGAAAACCCTCTTTTTTCTAAATTATTTTTATAGGTACTTTTCTGTTTGGCGGAGCATAACCAAATTTACTTTTTTCTCCTTTAGTGAGCAATGATCTTACTTTTTTTTAAAAATATTGTAAATACATAAAAAAATGGTTATATTTACCTGAGCCGTCCGGCTGATGGAATATATATATATTAAACCAATCATTAGTTTTTTTTTTTTTTTTTAAATTTTGGTACTGCAATTTTCAAAATGCAGAAGCTGTAAATAATGCATAAATACGCATTTCAAGGAAATATCTGCAGCCAGAATTCTTTTAAAAATTTAAAAAAAAAAATATAAAAAAATAAATAAATAAAAATATATATTGCAATTAATCCTAGTAAAAATATTTTTGAAAAATGTTTCCTTATTACTTATATTTATTAATATGCATGCTTAAGTAAATTTAAAATCCAGAACAAATCCCTATACGTGCAAGTTGTTCAAGAATTGTGTTAAAAATAAAGAGAGGGCAAAGTGGTTTGTTTGCTGAAGATGTTATCAATCTATAGTGCCATTTCAAATGGTCGTATTTTGAACTATTAAAAGTAAAGGAAACTAACATTTTAATAACCTTTTAACTTTTTTAACTAACATTTTAATATCAATCTATAGTGCCATTTCAAATGGTCGTATTTTGAACTATTAAAAGTAAAGGAAACTAACATTTTAATAACCTTTTTCTTTATATGTAAAATCTAACATTAATTTGGTGTTTATTTGACGAAACAGTGAATGCCAAATTTTGAAGAATTTCAATTATACGATACGAGTTAGTCAAGGTGATAATAATTGATATTATCACCAAGTTCCTAGTTTTAGGTCATTATACATTAAGACCACGTAAGGCTTGGTTTCTTAGGTCTGGTTTGTTAGGACAAGCGCCTTATCTCAGCGTCAGCGGGACGTCAACGTCCCGCTGACGCCAACAAAATACTGGTTTGTTAGNTTTTTAGAGTGAACAAACATTTTACTTGCGAAACATTTTAATAATGTAACAATTTATGTAATTTATATATATTTATAAAAATATTTCTATTGTTTACGTTTCAAATAGTAAACGTAAGTTTTTCTTAATTCTTTTGAAAAAAGATTTTATTAAAAACTTCTTTTTTCGAAATTATTTTTATAGGTACTTTTCTGTTTGGCGAAGCACAACCAAATGTACTTTTTTCTCTTTTAGTGAGCAATGATCTTTTTTTTTCTTCTTTTTTTTAAGTATTGTAAATACATAAAAAAAGGTTATATTTATCTGAGCCGTCCGGCTGATGGAATATATGTATATATATATATATATATTAATTCAATCATTAGTTGTTGTTTCTTAAAACTTTGGTACTGCAACTTTCAAAATGCAGAAACGGTAAATATGCATAAATACGCATTTCAAGGAAATACCTGCAGCCAGAATTCTTTTAAAATTTGAAAATAATATTTATTGCAATTAATCCTAGTAAAAACTTTTTTGAAAAATGTTTGTAAATTACTTATTTTTATTAATATGCATGTTTAAGTAAATTTAAAATCTAGAATGTATTCTATACGTGCAAGTTGCTCAAGAATTGTGTTAAAAATAAAGAGAGGGCAAAGTGGTTTGCTTGCTGAAGATTTTATCAATCTATAGTGCCCTTTCAAATGGTCGTAATTTGAACTATTAAAAGTAAAGGAAACTAACATTTTATTAACCTTTTTTTTATATGTAAAATCTAATTTTAATTTGGTGTTTATTCGACAAAAACAGTGAATACCAAATTTTAAAGAATTTCAATTATACGATATGAGTTAGTCATGGTGATAATAATTGAATATTATCACCAAGTTCCTAGTTTTAGGTCATTATACATTAAGACCACGTAAGACTTGTTTAAGTCAAAGTTTAGCCAAGTGGAGGCAATAGAGTACCCGTTAGCTAGAACAATTTATGCCGTCCAACTTCTTAGAAAGCCCATAATGCTTTTACAAGGCTTCATATCAAGCTTTAAACTGATAGCTGAATTTGGGATTACATATTGGAAACTGACATTTAAAAGATTAATATTATTTAAAAATAGTATAAAAAAGTAGAAAATCAACAATAGTGGATTTCGTAGTCTTACGCCAAAGGGTTAATCCTGAAATTTTCAAACATAAATGAGTGATCTATCAAAACCTAAATATTGTGGGCTGTGAGCTATAAGCATTGTTTTAAATTTTTACTTATTTTTCAAAATGGTGGTATTATTATTATTTCATTATTAGCATCCGTATAAAGTGAACATTCGAAACCAATCAAAATAAATTAATTATATGAATGCTTCACTTGCCAAATCGATTAACTCCATTTTCCGAATTTTATTAAATTTTAATATTAAGCCACTCAATTGGCTCCTAACTGTATAGATTCAAAAAAAATTTTCTCTAATATTAACTATACCAAGTGACAATTTTTTTTTGGCCATTGAATAATAAATAATTAATTTCAGAAGCCAATGTGATTAACTCCATGCTATAATGGCATAAAGATGTAGTTAACAACTGCACTCTTTCTTACTCTGCTACAGAGGTAAAGTTCTATTGTTGCCATGACAACGAAAATAAAAATCGTCTGTCGCTATTAAAAATCATATTGAAAGTTTCATTTATATTTGATCGATCCACTTGCGTATCTGAAAGTTGTCCCTTTAATTTCCCCCGTTAGACCGGAGCTGTTATCGCTCACATGAACCAAGCAAGAGAAATATAAATCAATTGTACTCGAACCGCCACAGAAATCTTAATTATCAGGTGATAATATACAGCTTTATTGTTTTTGCACTGCTTAAATCGGTTTGCACTTGCTTACGCTCTTGTATCAATTGGTTAAAAATGTAATGCAATACGTTAAAAATAAATACAAATAGGAAGTTTATAAAAAATCTCTTGAAGAAAAACCTATTTCATGTATGTTTAAATATAAAAGTATTGCATATAAACTCGTGCAAAACATGTAATTATTAAAAAACTACTGTGCGTCCAATAATTTGATCTAATTATAACTATATAATTATATATTTCTCTTACACGGCACCAAAAAAAAAAGCCTCATTACAACTCCCCGAATGGCAACGTTAGAAAATCGACCAATGATTGCTGCTAAAAATGTCACATGCCAAATCTAGCTCAGGTGGCTCAACATATAGCGCTTTTAAAAACGGAAACAATAACCAGAGTGAGCATTGTTAGGTTGTTCAATTCAGATTCATGCCCTAAAAACATGATAATTAAATTTAATGCCATCTAAAGGACTCTGTAACGGCACTAGATTAATTGTTACAAACTTGCAGCGTAATTTAATTGAAGCTAAACTGATTGATGATGATGACGCAGGTACATTTTTCATTCCAAGATTACCTCTAATCGCCTCTAACAACATGCCGTTTTCTTTTAAGAGAAAACAATTTCATATTAAGGTCTGGTTTCTTAGAACAAGCGCCTTATCTGGGCGTCAGCGGGACGTCAACGTCCCGCTNTTTTTCACGAATTTATATTGACTAAACAAGTTTTTAGTCATGGACAACTTTATGTTGGTCAGTCAAGAGTTAAGTCATTTGTCAGCCTTTCAGTAACTGCTCCAAGATGCCAAATCTTTAATTGTGTTTTCAAAGAAATTCTAAATGCTTAGTGTTAATTTCTTAGAGATTTGCAGAAAAAAAAATGCTTTTTGGAAAATTTTTTATTGAAACTTCTATTGGCAGTAGGCAAGGAGAACTGCCAAACTCAAAACTCCCCGATTAGAAATGCAGCATGGCGACCTCCACGTGGTATTTCTCGGGTAATGCTAACAGCCATGCATTTTAATTTATTGTATGTAAAACATCCTTATTTTGTTCTAAAATGTTATGTACTTTATCACAAATGTTAATTAATATAGAAATTGATTTCAATAATGCTGATCACCAAAAAATATTTCATTTGGCGATAAAACAAATTTTTGTGTTCTTGAAAATGAAAGACTTTTTGAGGGTTATTATCTCACAAGGAAAAGTTAGGGTTTAAAGTTTATATTTTTAAATAATAAAATTTTTTTCTAAAACTTTCAGAATTTCTAGCATTAACTAATTTATTATACACATTTAGTTGAATTTAGGTGAGTAACTGCAATATTTGATAATTTATTTTGCTAATATGTTTCTCATTTAGCTAATGTTTTGATTTTTTCACCATGTACAATCTAAATAGCTAATATACTTTTTTAAAAGCAAATAAGAACATTGATAGAATTCTTCTACATAAGTACAATACTATGTCTTTGATGATAAAATACTATGTCTTTGATGATAATATACTATGTCTTTGTGCTAGAACATTGTGTTCATTGGCGAGCGAGCGCAGCGAGCCATGGTTCACGGCGTGAACCACATAGGATTGCGTAGCAATTCTCGGGGGTTGGCGAGCGTTAGCGAGCAGGAGACGGAGCCTCCTAGTATAATTATATAATACCTGATGAAATAAATATTCTATATTTATATAATATATCGTCTAAACTCTAATTCATACAAACGTCGAATTAATATTATATATCGCCTAATTCAACCAATTGATACACGAACGTAAACAAGTGCTAAACTGGTTTCAGTCGC